TTTCTTGGATATATACTGCTTATGCCATTAAAGATTGTAACTAGAGATGTAGTTGTGAGTTAAAGGCTTCAAGATAAATTAAATCTCTTAAAAATGTAGGTCCTTTCAGCAGTGGGCATTACAGCTGAATTCTGTCTACTTTTCCAGCGGCTCCTAATGGCTTTGCTGGAATTTTTTACACAGTCAGGCCCTATCTCTTCCCCTGGGGTCTCTAAATAAAGCTATCTACAGAGACAGCATGCCACTTACTCCCCTAGTTGCTGCACCAGGGTGGTGAACAGATATGCATATTTTGGTCTCTTTGCCATATATAGCAGAGTGCTTCTGAAGGCAAGGAAGCTCAGCAAATTTAAGTGCTTTGCACTTTGAGGACAAGCTGTCTCTTTCAGCACTATTTTATTTACAGCTCTGTTTCACTGGGTGACCACATGCAAAACCTAGCATCAAGACTGATATATATATATAAGGAGGTCATGTTTATGGAGTCAGAAGATAGGTAGGTTCTGTGGTTTATTTACTTTGGCAGCTGTGAAACAGTGATGAAGTTGCAAATAAGCATGAAAGACACCAAAAGACCAAAGGAGCTACTGGAGAGAGTCCAGCAGAGGGCTACGAGGATGGTGAGGGGACTGGAACATCTCTCCTATGAGGAAAGGCTGAGGGAGCTGGGATTGTTCAGCCTGAAGAAGAGAAGGCTGAGAGGGGACCTAATAAATGCTTATAAATATCTGAAGGGTGGGTGTCAGGAGGATGGGGCCAAACTCTTTTCAGTGGTGCCCAGTGATAGGACAAGGGGCAATGGGCACAAACTGAAGCATAGGAAGTTCTGTCTGAACATGAGCAAGAACTTCTTCCCTCTGAGGGTGACGGAGCACTGGAACAGGCTGCCCAGGGAGGTTGTGGAGTCTCCTTCTCTGGAGATATTCAAGACCCGCCTGGACGTGGTCCTGTGCAGCCTACTGTAGGTGACCCCGCTTTGGCAGGAGGGTTGGACTAGATGACCCACAGAGGTCCCTTCCAACCCCTACCATTCTGTGATTCTGTGATTCTGTGATGCCATACTCCAGGCATGCATGTTGGGTTGTTGTGACTACGTGAAGCATGTATATACTGTCTCTAGATACATATATGCATATATGATGTTTTCTGTGCTTGTGTACTGTCCCAGTAGATCACATATACGTAATCTGTTCTACCTGTAAAAGCTCTGAATGCAGTGGGTCATCTGTACTATGTCACTGTCCTTGCGCTGAGGCTGACACAGTGCAGAGAGCAGAGTTAAAGGTGGGGCTTTTCTACACCCAAAACGTGGGTGCAATGGCTGCGCTGCTTGCGTGGGATAAACATGCACCGGTGCCAGCCGGAAGAGTACCAGCCCTTGCACAGGCAGCTCTTTCTCCCTCTCCTCAATCCCACCCCAAAATTTGTAATGGCGTCACGTGCAGGATGGGGAGTTTGCCCTTGAGTGATTAGCAGTTAGTTGCCCAGCCGATTCCCGTGCTGCAGCAGGACGGCGTTAGCTCCCTGAGCTGTGGTCCCCGACCCACGGTGCGGGTGAGCCCACACGTCTGCCAGACCACCCCTGCCCGCGCTGCCTGCAGTGAGGTCACCCTGGCATGGCATGCAGTCGCAGGGCTGAAGGCTCCCTTCTCCACCCTCCGTGTCCCTGGAGCCGGACGGCTGTCGCCGTGCTGGCCGAGCAGCTGCAAAGCAGCACAAGCCGTGGTGAAGCCCAGGGACGGCGCTCGGTGCTGTGCTGTTTCTCTCCCAAATTCTCGGATACCCATTCTGGGCAAGGAGCGATCATGGAAAATGCTGCATTGCTTTGTTGGCCACCCTTGTGTTGTTCTTCCCGTTGCACGGAGTAGCGCACAGCTCCGCTCCCATGGCATGGGCGTGCCCATGGCGGCCAGAGGCCGGGGCAACGGGCCTCCCGGTGTCGGATGCCGTATGTGTGGCACGAGCATTTCCATCTGAGCGTATTCCTGAGCCAGCTCGCCTACCAGCAGGCTGCTGCTGCTGTGACGCTGAGTGGCTGCAGCGTGGAAGAATATGTATGAATGAATTTCAAAGGAGATACTGCTGGAGCCGGCGGCTCAGCACGTACCGTCTTTTGCAGCAAAGAGTGGGTAAGACAGTCCTTGCAACGGGGAAGTCTCAGACCAGAGCTAAACAAGTGTTATGGCCAGTCAGGGCAAAAGAACATGATTTTGAGAAATGTGGACCTCTTTCATGGTTAACACCGAATGGGCGGGCTGTTCTGGAGCTTGCATGCGTGAGCTTTTGCAATCGCATTGTCACAGTGCCAAAAATAGTCAACAGGCGTCCTTAGCGAGCTGTCAGCCTGGAGAATGGAGGTAGGTGAGATGAGAGGCGGTCTTTGGCCCCTGCCTGCATTGCTGCTAACCTCTTTGTTAAGATTTTTGTAAGACAGGAGTCACATTTACCCCGGGAGAATACGCTGCAATTGATATTATATGGATTGATGCCATGTTATTTTGCTCACAGATGTCTACCAAATGGGAGAAAATAGATTTTAAAGTCTCCTAGTAACATTGCTGTTGAGCTCTGCTACATGCAAAGTGGGCTTGAACATCACTAGCACACTTGGAACCATTACTAGCAGTGACCCCTTTAATTTATAAAATGTTCTCGAAGATCCTATAAATAGCCACATGCCTAATTTTAAACATAAGCAGTCTCCTGTGCTCAGTGTTAAGCTTGTGTGTAGCTGTTATCAGAATTGGGGCCAGAGAGGTTAATTCGTGCTTTGCAGACATGGTTCCTGGTCTCAGATTCAGTCCAGTCTTGTAGAAAGCTCAGCCTCTGAGGTGGTTGCATCTTTGGGCTCTGCTTATTGGCAGTGCCAGCTCGGCAGCCCTTGCTGGTGCTGCACTCCGAGCCAGCCAGGTCAGGCAGAGGCTATTATTAAGCCTTGCTTCCTCAAAATGCTTTCGGTAGCGAGATCTGATTATGTCATCTACTTCATCAGAGATGAGCCTCGGCTAGGGTCCTTTTCGCTGTGCTGCAGGCAGGACTTGGCTTTGGAAAGCTGCCTGTGTCTTGCAAGGGCGGGAATGTTTTGGGGTCCTAAACACCGGAGGTATGAAATCTGTGTGATATGTTTACCTGTTTGGGTCTTGCTCGGAAGAGTAGATTTGGGAGTAGCACGACACCGAGACAGTATTTGGTATCTTAGTCTCATAGATGGGAGTGATCTGTTTACCAGGAAAACTCTGTCGCAGCTTTGGACATCGTGTCCCAAGGTCATTTGCGTCCCCAAGGAGAGGATCACTGACATCTGCATCTGCAGACATGGTATAAATACTCTGTGAAACGAGGCGGCTTTGCTGCTCTACCTCCCCGCGCCCCATGCAAACTTGCGCTGTGGCGCACGTGGGTGTGGTTATCGGGGGTGCCGTATTTGGGACGCGGTTGGTTGGAAGGGGATTACCCTTTTCGAGAGCTGGGTTTTGCCTTTCAGCACTTTGAAATGGGGCTGAGGAACAGCTGGGCTGAACCAGAGCGACAGAGAATTGGGGGAAGATGCCAACGCTGGGGCTTGGTGAGGTCAGGAAAGTGTTGGGTTAAATCCAAACGTGTCTGATCCTAGCACCGGTTGCTCAGAGCTGCCGGATGGTGAGGATGATTGCTGGATGTCTCACCGTCTTCAAGGTTGTGGAGACAGGCTCCGACAAGGCCTGTTCCCTGTCCCGAGTCTTGGGGTATTCAGGGGTGCTAGCGATGCCCGACAGCTCTGCGAGGGATTTAGGAGAGACTGTGCACCTGAAGGTTTATCTGCTGCAGTGAGGATGATGGTAGCTGCAGCTGCATATCCCCCTCGTGGGAAAGATAACAAAAAATGGGGTTTGTGGTAAGTCTGCAGCTGCTGGCTGGGGGTGTCTGTGTGTGGGACGGTGCCCAGAAACTCTCAGGTGAGAGATGCTCCCCCCAAACCGGCTGCTGAAAGGGTGCTGGGAAGTTACTTTCATCCTCTCAATAGTGTCATCATCCGCTACTGTGGCTCTGCAGCGTGAGACCTAGATATGGCTTAGGACATTTGCCAGTTGAGTGACAGACTGAAAAAAATCCTAACCTAGGGTGTTTTTTTCGGCTGAAAGGGTGCTGGGAAGTTACTTTCATCCTCTCAATAGTGTCATCATCCGCTACTGTGGCTCTGCAGCGTGAGACCTAGATATGGCTTAGGACATTTGCCAGTTGAGTGACAGACTGAAAAAAATCCTAACCTAGGGTGTTTTTTTCCCAGATGATAAGACTTTCTTAGTACATCTAGATAGTACTGGCCCTAGCAAGATGAGAGCAGTTTTCCCGGGCAAATACAAGCTTTGATCCATAGCAAGTCAGTAAACAGATAGACGGCTTAGCACCTGGTAAGCATTTGAGAGCCACACGTGATTATTGGACAATTTTAGGCTATTAGAACTGCCTTACTGTGCTTCTCTGCCACATGAACACCTGTATACATGTGCACATATATATAGAGATATACCCTGCTAGGCTATACACATTTATACATACACACATGTATGTGTAAATCATCTCAGAAACCAAAATAGAAGCGGCTTTCTTCCCAGCAAGGAGCATTTTCATGTGGTTTAAAGCAAGAGAAATCTCTACTTGCAGTTGTGTGCTCCTGAAGGAGCCACATGAGCAGCTGCATTCGTCTGCTGATGGCTCTGAGAAAGCAAACAGGTTGTCACAACAAATGTGCCTAGCCGACTCCTAAAATGGCTTCTGTAGCGTGAGGGTTTTGTGTCCCAACGTTTTTTCTGCTCTTGTTGAAGTGCCAGTTCTGAAGCAATGTTGAAAATCTGGAACAGATCCAGCGCTTGTCCTCAGGGATGTTTGAAAATTCATGCAACTTCTGAAATTCACACAGGACGGACAAAGCAAGGGTGCTCGTGATTCACCGTTATTTTGAAAACAGTCTTTGAGTTAGAATTTCCATCATGTTTTCACTCTTGCCTTTTCCTTTCCAGGAACTGAAGCCGATTTTAGCTCTTCAAGCAGCACAGGCAGTATTTCAGCACCTGAAGCCCGTGTGACTGCTGCTGGAAGCCAAAGATCTTCTTTTTCTCGCAAGTAAGCAAAGCAGCTTTTGCTGAATCTTGCAAGTGTTGCTAGTGCAAAGACAGACTACTGGGTAAGGTCTTGCAGTTAATACACACACAACTACTATTGTGAGTTTCAAACCATTTTTTTTTGAACATTACTTAAGCGCTCCCTAGATTATATCTCAACAAGGAAAGGTATTGGCTGGGAGCAAAACACAATATGAAGTATAATTTAAAGCCCTAAAATGACCTGACTTTCAGAAAGAATAGATATCATTTCGTATATTACTATACTGCCCTGCTTAATTGAACAGAAGTCCTCTGTAACAAGGCTCCTTCAGATGCATTGCTGTGTTATGCGCAGCCTGTGCAAATGCTGCCTCACACAAGGGTTGATGCTGTACTGCACAAAGCGGAAGGAGATGTCTCCTTTGCAATATGTTCTTTTTCAGCCGTTCGACTTAACTCTCTATGAAACATTTCAGTGCTGTCACAAACCACAGTCCTGCACTTCATTGTAAAACAATGATAAAATCACCCAAACCGCAGCAGTATGATGCAGGTTTGCAGCAGCCCCTCACCCACCTGTTCCTTATAAACTGTTCCATTTTCAGAGAAGGGGAAGCTCAGGGGACGTGGGTGATCCGACGGAGTCACGGGGAACTGTGCGATCCGCAGAGAAACGTGAAAATGGCCAAGGTTTCCCTAGGTCACGTAGTCCACACGGAGCCCCCCACAGCTACTGAAAAA